TTTTGTTATTTTGAATAATTGCAAGAGACTGTTTTAAAAAGTTCAAAATGCTACCAATTTTTGAAAAAGTATCGGACCACTTTTCTCAACTATAGCTGCATAAGTGTACAAAATAAACCCATGAAACTTGTCATGCAATTTATCATATAGTAGAACAGATATAGCAATGAATGAAATGAAATGTCTTGGTTACTTTTACATACTCACTTACATGTATATGATGTAACTAAAAAAAACTAACTGCTAACTGGAGAGTTATGGCAACCTCACTTATACTGTTGAATATACACTCAAGTGAGACACACATTTTTTTAATGAATCAATTGATAAATAAACAAACATTTGATTCTCTAGGTAGGAAGCTCTAGGAAAATTGGTCAGCCTTCGATGAAGGAGGCAATCAAGCAAAATTGTCTACAATGAAATATGGATGTAGCACAAAACCTTTGTAGCTTACTGTAGTGTTTTATTACGATATTAATAGCCACATCTAAATGCAGACATTCAGTTCATAAAAAAAGTAGGTGACAGCTTTTGCTTTGTATTCAGAGTACCGCTAAACTCAATGCAACATTTAAAGGGGAAGTATTGGCTAACAGCGTGATATTCCTAGATAAAAAGAACTCCACAAATGAAAGGAAATGCAATTTACTGCTTTTCTCTATTATGTCTCGTTTTATAAATAATCAACTTTTTAATTAGTATAAGTTGTCCATCACTTTGGTTTTACAGCAATGAATTATGGGTAATATATGGACATAACAACATCTGTTGCAAAATATTAGGGAAATGATTTCATCCATAATTTGAAAAATACAGAATGTAAATTTTGTTCAAATTTTCAGTGTGTATATGACTTGTGTAATAATAATCATCTTTATTGTTATCGTATCCTCTATGGGACTTTGATTGAAGAATACAATAAAGGTATAGCAATGAAAACAAAAAAATTAAATGAGATTAAAAGAGTATAAAACAAAGGTATTAATAAAATATAATAAATGAAAGTAAATGTTTTTTATTCATTTTGAGGCAGCTGGTAGTACTTTTTTCAGGT